CGGGGGGGGTCCGGGGTGGGGCATAAAACCCCATTTTTGGGGTTTAGCCCACGTGGTGCGCGCTCTTGCAGCGCACCCCCCACTATTTTTTATTTTTTATTTTGATTTTTTTTTTTGGGGGGGGATTCCGGAGCCGGGGTTGGGGGTGCCCACCCCCGGACCCCCGCCGGGGCCCCGGGGCCGGGGCTCGACAACCCTGGATACAGACACTAAAACCGGATATCTATCCCCCTTATGACAGCAGGTGGAGGCAAAAGGGTGCCAAGAGGATGGAACTTCATGGAAGATAAGGATATGGGCTACTTGACGAAGCCATGATTGATGAAACCACTCTACTGGATGATAAGCAAAGACTACGAAAAATGGAAGAGCTCAACCAAGTTGGCAGGATGGCAGAAGTGGCATATCTGAAGAACTCAAGGGCACGAGTGGAAGCACAAAAGGAAGTGCAGAACCAGGACTAGGAGAACAGAGAGGACGACATCGATTATATGGAAGGAGAGGTAGCGTCAACTAAACCAGGCAGTACGGCCACCTCGCTCAAACGGAAAACCAGGGCAGAGGAATCGAGTGAGATGGAACAGAGCGAGCAAGGGGAGCAGGGTAGCAAAAGGGCACAATCAAAAGGAACCAGGGACACAAGTGAACCCCAACAGTCACGGGGGGATCCGGACCAGGAGATGGAGACAAAACAGGTGGGGTCAGGGGCTCTCAGCCCATTGGAGGAGCCAATGGAAGTTTCACAGCAAGCGGACAGCAGCCAGTCCCGATCACACAAGCAGGAAAAGGGAGAAGCAACAAGCCAAGATGACGGAGACACAAGCAAAGGGGGGGAGTCTTTTGAAGAAGGGCCAGCCAGTTCCGTTACTGAACCTAAACGAGGAAGAGAGAGGGGGGATGGAGAGGAGGGCGAAGAATCGGATGAGAACTCAAGGGACGACGGATGGGAAGATGCAGAGGAGGAGGAGGAACAAGAAACGCTAGAAAGATGGGTCAAGTGTGTGCATGCGCTGGAATGGGAGCATCATGTTGAGTGCGAGATTCGTCTCGCACACCACAAGCACCTGCGAAACTTGAAGGAGGCCACGACAACAACGGAGGGCATCACCATTACAAATCGCTTCGAGATATTGAAAAAGGAGAAAAAAATAAACGAATTTTATGTTGCACAATACGGGTGGAAGGCACAACACCGCAACAATGACATCCAGGTGCAAAATGAGGGTTACAGCAAGCAATTCGAGTGGCCAAAGACCTACCAACCAAAGGGAATGAAGCGGTCTGAGCGCAAGAAGAAAGCGCAACAAGAAACGCAGCAGGCAGACAAGCAAGGACAAAGCCAAGCATCAACGGAGGAGGAAATGGGAGACGAAGAGCTAATGGAGGACGTGCGTAGGCAAGCAGCGATTTTGGAGGCTCAGATTAATGTCCTTAAAGACCAGAATCCGGAGTTGGATGAAGACACCATGAATTTAGAAAAGATAGCTTATACGCCACACAAGGAAAATGAAGCAGCGGAGAGATTACATGCCAAAAACTCACCCAGACGCAGGGTCATTCTCCCATTCAGGTGGAATGAGGACCACAAGGAGTGGGAGGTTGCAATTCATCGATCGTTGGCACTAGTCACGCTAGAGGAGGCCAACTTTTCTGGTCAGTCCCTGAAAGTAACTATCTTAGAGGATCTGCCAACCCATGCATACGTGATAGGGGACTGGAAGCATCAAAGGGAAGACAACGCGGATACAGCGAGCGCAATACAAACAGCGGACTACATGCCAATTATGTTCAGGCTACAGGAAACGGCGAAGCTGAGCGAGGGCCTGATATGGATGCCATGGCAGGTGGTGGAGACCATCCTCTATGGGTTGTTAGGAGGATTGGTGGCGGTAGAATGGGTGGCTAGAAGTGCGGCGATCGTTGTCAAAGCCGACACCTTTTCGTGGAAGTCGGAGTTCATTGAGAAGAGGATTGCACGGGGCGCAACAAGGTTGGATCTATTAGAGTCAGGCTCTTGAACACCCCTTAAAGACGAGCATGAGCGCAGGTGAATGACATTTTCCAATGCAGGACAACGAAGGAAGGAGGCTGGAGAAACGTAGAAGATTGGTGCAGGCACAACCAAGGATGGATCCTGAGATCAGAGTGGTCTCCTGAAACATAAACGGGCTGGCGCAGATTTTGGACAACCCGGACAAGTGGAACAATTTCGTCCAATACTTAGGATGGTTTGGACACAATCCTCCGGACTTCGTATGCTTACAAGAAACTCATTTGACCACCTCAGAAGAGCACGAGCAAGTCAAGAATAGCATCTTACAAAGACTGAGATGGGTAGCAGCAGACTGCTGCGCTCCGACTCCATGCTCACATTCGGCGGGGGTGGCAATGCTTCAAACCAAGTGGGCCTCTGCAGTAAAGAAGTTGAAGATAGAAGAGGTGTGGATAGATAACAGAGAGGGTAGATGGGTCAAGTTGAACTTTCTATTTCAGCAAGAGCAGTTTACTTTACTATCCACCTATGGACCCAACACATTTCAACCAAGGGCACATCTAGTGGACGAATTGCAGGTCATAATAGAACCAACTAGGCACATTATAATAACAGGGGATTGGAATGACGCACTGGAACCAGCCCGAGATAGAATGTCAGGGGAACACAGCGCGGGTGAGGGCGCACTGGGAGAGGAGGCACTCCCAATTCATAATATGATGACTTCTCTTGACTTGATTGATCCCTACAGATTGTATTTCCTTGAGGATAGGCAATTTACTTATCACAAGAGGAATAGGAGTCAGCACGTCTCTGCATCGAGAATAGACTACTTCTTGATCTCTCAGACGATCATAGGTATGATCCACTCTGTGGGTATAGGCGAGTTTCCTTACTAGACCACAAACCTATTTTTTGTACTTGTCAGGAGAGGAAAAGGGTTCTATAAGATAAATAACTCGATTCTTCAAACTCCGGAAATGACGCAGGTCATTTTGCAACCTTGCCTAAACTACGACTCGGGCAATTAGTCCTTCCCAGAGCTCCTAAACGCAATCAGTCGAGCATCGGCGACAGCGGCTAAACAGCTAGCGAACAAAAGAAAGGCTCAGGAAGTAGAGCTCCAGCAGGCATTGCGAATAGCAGATAGTCGCCTCGTTAAGAACCCGGGTTTCGAATTGTACGAGAGAATATGGCAGGCAGCAAGGGAAGAATTGGGAACATGGGAGCGCTGGAGGATCAGGGGGCTGCAGATGAGGGCAAGAGTCAAGGAGTGGGAGGAGGGAGAAAGAATGACAAAATATTTCTTTCACAAAATTCGGACCAAAGGACGGAGCTCAACAATAGAACGGGCTTCAAACATCGGAAGGGCAAGTGTCAACACTAGAAGAGATGGCCGTGGTGGTTCAACAGTTTTATAGCACCTTATACACTTCAAGGGAGTCGGAGCACTCGCAACAGCGGGTTCAAGAAGCCAGATCAAAGTTCTTAGCCAACTTAGAGAAGACGGTGCCTAGCGCACAGGCGGAGACGCCCCTCTCACTAAGGAGGGGATGTGGGAAGCACTGAAGTCAATGTCACCCAACAAGACTCCGGGAAAAGATGGTTTGTCAAGGGAATTTTGGCTTGAATTTTGGCCTATTCTAGGGAGCAAATATATGGCTTACCTAGAAAGGGCCTGGCAAGCAGAGGGGCTGGGCCAGGATCCGGACACAGGGATCGTCACATTATTGTATAAAAAGGGGGACCCCGATGACATAAGAAATTCCAGGCCCATTACCTTGCTGACACTCACACACAAGACCGTAGCGAAGGCCATAGCCAACAGACTCAGGAAGGTAACTAGGGGCTGCTTCCATCTGGATCAGACCGGTTTTATCCCAGGCCGCTTTATCCCGGACAACGTCATGACCTTGTCAGAATCAGTACGTTATATTAAGGACAAGAGAATCAATGTGGCAATAATGTTCTTCGACTTCGAGAAGGCGTATGACCAAGTGAACTGGAGTTTCCTCCAACAGTGCATGGAAAGGATGGGGGTCGGGCCTAATTTTAGGAAATGGATACGCACACGGGCAAGTCCAGGTGAACGGTCATTTGTCGCAGAGCTACAGGATGTCGAGATCCATCCGACAGGGAGACCCCTTAGCAACACCCATCTTTTTGTTCATAATGGAGGCGGTGGCATCATTTCTCAGAAAAGATCCCTCCATCCAACGCTTGACAGCAGAACCGGACCAGCAGGGCAGACTGATCCAATTGCCGACGAAACTCCTGTTTGTTGACGATTTAACGGTGCTGATTCGAGCCTCAAGCTCATCATTTGAGGCCCTCACTAGAGCAATGCTGGCCTTCCAGCTGGCGTCCGAAATGAGAATAAACTGGCCAAAGACAATAGGATGGGGGCTGCACTACGGGGAGGGAGAGGGTTAGAGACCGGAGATCACCCCGGAGGGAATGCAGTGGGCAACGGTAGAGGAACCACTACGTTATTTGGGAATCAGACTAGCAGAAAC